TATAGACTCAAAGTTTATGTTAATTGATTATTACGTTAATGAAAAAAATATTCAAACCTTATGTACACTCAATATTGTAAAGGAAGTAGCGACCGTTGGATGAACAAATTAAATAAGCAAGCAATTGCATTTTTACTACACTTTATCCGATAATATTACTACTTTTTCATACTTGAGGCACAATTGTATCTTTCTTTGTAAATACGATAATTTATTTGAAATAAAAATAATTATTTTTATCGTCGATTGCTTCGGCGGAGGCTTCAAATACTTAAAAGACGAAAAAAAAAGAAGAAAAAAAGAAAAGAAAAGAATTGAATTATTAGTAAATAGAAAGTATTGCTATTACCTATAACTATATGTTAACAACTAGTTAACATTCAAAATTCATTTTACATTAAATTTACATCGATAGTGGCATTAAACAACTTATTTCCTTTGTTCTTTTATTTTCAAGCATTTTATTTGTTATTATAAGTTTTACAATTGAATATTCATAATTTAGCATTATATAAAATATCTTTTACACGTGTAAAAATTTGTATGAAATTTATACTTAAAGCCGACAAACTTAAAATGCCAATAAAATACATATAAAATATATATCTTAATGGCAGTTTTATAAATTACACGAATAAATTGAATAATTCTGAAATATTAGATAAGAAAATTTTTTTTTTTATTTATGTTTTTTTTTTTTTTTTTTTTTTTTTTTTTTTTTTTTTTTTTTTTTTTTTAAACATAACACAAACAACAAATGTGCGTGCGCGCGCGTGTGTATTTGTTTTTCTTAAATAAAATATCGTTTTTATTGATATGCTAGATTTATATCTCGATTAATGTCTCTTTGCCTCGGCAATACAAGCAACTGACGCATAATTATTTACAACGAAGGTACCGAATTCATAATATTATTACAAAGCTTATTATAAAAACATGAGAAAAATAAAAAAAAAGATTCCCAGCGGCCTGATTTCCCTTGCATTAAAAAAGTAATTTATAGTTTATCAAACCTGAATGGTGTTATTAGTTTGATGCCGTATTTCAAGATTGTATTTCATATTTTTCTTTTATCTTTTTGTCTTGCACACTTGTGTGAGAGAACGAACGTTTTCGGTGATAGTAGTAGTAGTAGTAGTAGTAGTAGTAGTAGTAGTAGTAGTAGTAGTAGTAGTAGTAGTAGTAGTAGTAGTAGTAGTAGTAGTAGTAGTAGTAGTAGTAGTAGTAGTAGTAGTAGTAGTAGTAGTAGTAGTAGTAGTAGTAGTAGTAGTAGTAGTAGTAGTAGTAGTAGTAGTAGTAGTAGTAGTAGTAGTAGTAGTAGTAGTAGTAGTAGTAGTAGTAGTAGTAGTAGTAGTAGTAGTAGTAGTAGTAGTAGTAGTAGTAGTAGTAGTAGTAGTAGTAGTAGTAGTAGTAGTAGTAGTAGTAGTAGTAGTAGTAGTAGTAGTAGTAGTAGTAGTAGTAGTAGTAGTAGTAGTAGTAGTAGTAGTAGTAGTAGTAGTAGTAGTAGTAGTAGTAGTAGTAGTAGTAGTAGTAGTAGTAGTAGTAGTAGTAGTAGTAGTAGTAGTAGTAGTAGTAGTAGTAGTAGTAGTAGTAGTAGTAGTAGTAGTAGTAGTAGTAGTAGTAGTAGTAGTAGTAGTAGTAGTAGTAGTAGTAGTAGTAGTAGTAGTAGTAGTAGTAGTAGTAGTAGTAGAGATTATTATTTTTTTTTTATTTTTTTTTTCTTATTGTTTTTTTTATTCTTCGTGTTTTGCTTTCGATTTATAACGATTTGCAGGCTCTATTACTTCGTTTTTTCTTTCTCGTCTATATATTGAAAGAAACGTTCTAGTAACATTGTATAAGTACAAAGTATTAAAATAGATTACTGCTTTTAACCTACACGCTGAGGTAAAAGTAGCATAGTTATATGAAAACCAGTCAATGTAGTTTATATCGATAAGATAGGAGAAGTATTTGGACGTATCGTTATAAAGTTTCTCCCGTACGGCAACTAAAATGTCATATTAAAGCATCTATTATTTATGTTTATGTTGCGTAGTTTTATTTTGCAGTCCAAGTCCAGTTTATACAGAATATACTGGTTAACGTGTTTATCTTTAGCGTGAAAAGTTGTACGAGCCAAGGGCGATCAAATCATTATGAAAAGCCAGCGGTAACTGGTAATCGGCGAGCCAAATGCCGGTGGTGGTATTTCTGCCGAAATCGGCGCTACGGTCAACTCGAGCATCGATCTTATCGATCATTTAGTATTATATCGGCCCGCCGTCCCATTTAACGCGACTCGATAATATAATCGCCACTACAGGTAAAAATGTCGTAGGAAAGGCATAAATAAATAAACAAATAAACAAACGACCACTTATCGGAAAGGTTGGATTATAATGGAGGTATGCAGATTTATCGGACAGCGAGCAATGCGATAAAAGTGAAACCCATCGGCAGTGCGAGATGTCGTCGCATATCTCCTGTCCAGCTGCCTCCTCCACCTCGGCATTACAAGACTTCCTTATTATTTCTGAGCGACTCGTAAGCTGAGACACTCCTTTTTCACTTTTACATCACGGCTATTAAGAAGTTCGCTAGTCGTTAGACAAACGATATGTGCGTGCCCCCGCACATTGCGCGACACATCGGCTCTACTAATGCACCGAGATAAAAGCATCGGGAGGCAATTGCCGTGGATAGATTTTTCTCCCTTTCTCTTGGGAACGCGCAGCTAATAAACATAAATAGCCGCAACAAGCAATTCCTACCTCTGAAAATATTTTTCAAATATACGGTATCGTAGTAACACGACACATGCCAAATGTTCATTGATGCGCATCGATAATGTAGCGACTCCCGACGCTTAATTAACGAGGCGCAAACTAAGGAGATTATTAATTATTATCGCGGAAGAGGAGCATTATTTTTCTAATAATGTCGGGCAAGTCAAAATTTGTTGATAATTCAACGGTCGCTCCTTTAGTTTACAATTTCAAAATCATAAAAAATCTTGGAAGCCTTCCAAGATTGAATATCCTCCTTTATACACTCACTGGCTAAAGTAATTTTTTCATAAAAATATATTTCGAGAAAATTATAAGGAGAAGAAAAGAAAAATACTATTTGCATTACGTAAAACGTTACTTTGACACTTACTTAACTTACTTACCGTAGAGTATATAGTAGAGAACATATTCTCCCAATGATTTATTTCTCTTTCGATAATATGCTGGATTAATATAAAAATCAATTATATATTCATAATTACTTGATAGGACTTTGTTTAAATTTAACAGTCGAACATTAATGCGAAATTTTATCACTCAAATATTATTTTCAAGCGATGCAATAAATTCGGAATATTTTATAAATGCTTTATTAGGCTTAAAATGTAGATATCAACTTATTCATTCATGGTTGGCGTACATTTCTAGTTGCTTTCACAAATTTTAAATATATTATACTTTACGATGCTTCTGTTATAAATGAACGATGTCGCTAATCTAATTTAAAGAACAGAGGAAATGCGCCAAATGAAGTAATATTCATTCTTTCTCTTTTTATATCATAGAGATTTAAGAATTATTCGTTTTTTTTTCTTTATTTTTTTTTTTCTTTTTCTTTTTTATCATTCTTGTGCTATTTAATTAGCCTAAGTCGTTAAGGTTAAACAAAATTATGAAAATTAACGCACACAGTTATAAAGAAAAATGAACAAATAAAAGTAATTTCAAATTACAAATTCGTAAAACTATTTGTAATATTCGTATTTGGCGCGAAAACTAATTATATAAATGCACTTGATGTTGATTAAAAGTTAAAAGTAATTTATTTTTTAATTATTATTCGAAATTAATGACAATAGTTAATGAAACGTCACAGGACATTACACATTTTCTTTCTTTTTTTTTTTTTAAATTTAAATAAAATAATTTGAAACGGTTGTGCGTAAAATGTACTTGATCGAGTTATATGGATTATAAATAAAATTTATATTTCAATGATGTATTTTCTACTTTGTCTCATTATATTTAGCGGTTTAAAATAAAAGTGAAGATAAAATTAGCAAAATATAGATTGAAACGAACCATTCACGCCCACAAATCCATAAAGTTATTTTGAAAATTTTGAATTTTCAAACGTTCCTACCTCTTCTTTTCATTTATGATTTATTAAAAGTTACATATAACTTACTATCGACTATTTTTTATCCCCGATTTTTTTTTTTTTTTTTTTTTTTTTTTTTTTTTTTTTTTTTTTTTTTTTTTTATCAAATACATAAAATATTAATTTCTTTTCTTTTATCATTAGCCACTGAAATTTCTATAACATAATGCGAGTATGATATATCGTTATGTTGTAATTGAAATTATATTTCGAATTAAACGGATAAAATCAATATTGATAATAAAAATATTTTTCATACATTTTGACTATTGATGTCCTCCAAGTACAAAGAATTACAATTGTAATTATTAGCTGAAATAGAAATATTTAAAAAGCAAATGAAGTACAGATCATAGATGAAATGGCTATTCCAATATAAAGTAATTATCTGCTTATCCAAGCATTATGCTTTTATGCTACCGAGTACAAGTTAATAATGATAATCATTATCGTAATTTAATAATAATGTTCAGCTGTAAATGGAAAAACGTAACAAATTTTTCATTGCAAGTATAATCTCTTTCATAGGGGGGGGGGGGGGGGGGGGGGGGTATCGTTAAGCCGTGTACTTATTATAAATTATTAATGAAGCAATGCCATCGACCATCGATGATAAAACGGTGTCGAATGTTTTCGGCATTTGGCTCCTTTCCTCTGTCGGCTGACAGGACAATGCTGCTGATAAGGAGAAATGCCACCTGGAGACGCAGTAGTGCGTGTAGTGCGAGGAGTACACGGAGGTGGATCTGACGGCTGATCAATGTGTCTCTGTTTTTTCTGCTTATGTTCTCTGTGTTAATCTCTGTGTGCGTGTGCGTGGGTCTTGTTGCACAAACGCGCGCACACAGGAAGGCAACGGCGCGTGTTGCGAGACCGAGACGATGATCGGTAATGGCACAAGGCGAGGCGAGAGGGATCGGGATCGCGATCGCGATACCGAGGACGACGAGGACGATGGAATGGTGGAGAGGAGCTCGGAGAGTGGCGGTGGTGGAGGTTTCGGTGGTTGGAGGAATCACCTGCTCGGTGGGCTAACACAGCGCGTCAAGTCTTGGTACTGGGGCGCCAGACCCCTCGTAAGTCCCACTCTATTCTCTCTTTCTCTCTCTCTCTCTCTCTCTCTCTCTCTCTCTCTCTCTCTCTTTTATACTTTTTCTCTCTATTTCTCTCTAACTCTCTCTCTCTCTCTCTCTATCTATCTCTCTCTATCTCTCTATCTCTATCTCTCACTCTCTATCTATCTATCTATCTATCTATCTCTCTATCTCTCTATCTCTCTATCTCTCTACCTTTTCTTTATCTCGCTCGCGCTCTTCGCAAACGTACTCAGCGTCTTATTACTGCCTTCTTATAAACTCAATCCTTGACACCAGCACGAGGATTTCGCTCATAGGCAGATATTTTCAATTTCTATATATACTCAACATTTCTCTATCTCTCTCTTCAATTCGCACATTATCATTAATTTATCATTCCCTTTGTCTCTTTTATTCTTTTATTCTTTTTTTCATCTTTTTACTTCCTAAGTTCTTACTTATGAATTGCACTTGCGAGACGCGCCACTGTAGTTCGACACTAATCGACTCGTTTCTAATATAAGTGTCTCACAGTGCACAACTTGCAACTTTTGGTTTGCCTGTGTTATGTTATGTTTTATAGGAATAATTGGGAAAAAACATGAGTTTCCTTGCTATTTTTAATTGATAAATTTTATTTAAGAAATGAAACATATTAGTAACAAGTGTCAAAAAATGTCGTCTCATTATCCTTGAAAAACATCGCTATTCGTCAAATTTTAATAATTAAAATTGAAAATATTTTAACATGACTTTCTTTAACAATAATAACAACAACAATAATAATAATAATAATAATAATAATAACAATAACAATAATAATAATAATGTTTAACGATAAAACTGTATTATTACAAATAATATTATGATAGCGGTTTAAATATGTATATACGTGCAAGCATTGTTTCATTTGTATATGTATATAGTAACATTATAGTAGATTTTTCTATTTATTCTATTTTACTGTATTATATATGTGCGCATATATCATGATATAAATGAGAAAAATTATATATAATTTTCGTAAATTTATTCGAATATATTGTTGGTAATGTTTACAATTACATTTACTTTTGATTTTAATTACAAATGTTATGTGGAAGTATTTTCATACAATGCATATGCCGATACTTATGATAAATATCTATTTATTTAATCGGATTTTATACTTAATTATTTAAATTTGATAAGAAAAATGGAGCATGAAAAGGATTATAAATATGGCATTATTAGTAGAAAGTTGCTTAAAGTTTCAATTCGGAGAGAGATTTAGAGAGACGGGAGAAAAATAAGAGAATTAAAAATAATTATAATTGTTAAAAATAAATGAGAGTAATTGTTAAATAATGATTATATGATTGATACGAAAGATAGTTAACTAGTGCTTTTGGCATGAATTATTTGATTTCATATATATAAATATATATCTTTATCTCTCTTATTAGCATCAATAGTTTTAGAGATCTGAAATTCATAGTCGATATAAATATTAAATTATGTAGCATATTTAGCGTGTGTACGTGTCTTGTTAGATGTCATGCACTTACTATTTACACAATTTTGTATTTGTATATGATATTTTAAGCACGATATATACTTTTAGATGTCTTGGCATGCACAATCACACACGAAATAGTAATTACAATTAAATCAAATAGTACATTGGTTAAATTAATTGTCAATTTACAAACAATACGACAAATGACTATTAATTATTGAATTTATCGAATAATGTCGGTATAATATTTTGTAATAATTAACATTAAATAATGTGGCTCATCCGTAATAAAAACACTACAGAGACACACAAAAACACTTGAAAATAACAATTTGACAAAAAAAATTCTGTAACCATTTTGTTATTTAGCTTTGCAATATTACCTTACACAGTATCATTTAATATTAGTATTTTAGTTTGTTAGCAAATTTTTAATTTCTTAAAGTACAGACATGATTTTTTTATTTTCAAGAACGTTAAAAATCAATGCTTTCAATTAAAATGGAAAAAATAAATTTCCTTCATTTTTCCTTTATATATATATATATATATATAAACAGAGATATTTTTAAAATTTATTTATTTATTTTTTGTTTTTGTTTTTTGTTTTTTTGTTTTTTTTTGTTCACCATTGCTGGTCACATCGGGATGTTGAATGTGATGTAATCGTGTGTCATAAATTAGTTGACTCTCGAAAAGTTCCTTAAGCCTTGGGCTCGTCCACCATCTTCTCAAGAAGGACGGATAAAAATATTAGCTGAATTATCAAATAACATGCTCCTTAAAATCTCGTAAAGCCCAGCTTAATAAATAATTAATCTTATTTTGTGCCATACAATTATAAATTGACATTGAAATTGTCCTTGCAACATTAAGGATTGCACCGAAAGTTCGTATTTGACGAATGACAATATTACAGATACAATGAATATTATTAGGTGTGTGTGTGTGCGTGCGTGCGTGCGTGCGTGCGTGCGTGCGTGCGTGCGTGCGTGCGTGCGTGCGTGCGTGCGTGCGTGCGTGCGTGCGTGCGTGCGTGCGTGCGTGCGTGCGTGCGTGCGTGCGTGCGTGCGTGCGTGCGTGCGTGCGTGCGTGCGTGCGTGCGTGCGTGCGTGCGTGCGTGCGTGCGTGCGTGCGTGCGTGCGTGCGTGCGTGCGTGCGTGCGTGCGTGCGTGCGTGCGTGCGTGCGTGCGTGCGTGCGTGCGTGCGTGCGTGCGTGCGTGCGTGCGTGCGTGCGTGCGTGCGTGCGTGCGTGCGTGCGTGCGTGCGTGCGTGCGTGCGTGCGTGCGTGCGTGCGTGCGTGCGTGCGTGCGTGCGTGCGTGCGTGCGTGCGTGCGTGCGTGCGTGCGTGCGTGCGTGCGTGCGTGCGTGCGTGCGTGCGTGCGTGCGTGCGTGCGTGCGTGCGTGCGTGCGTGCGTGCGTGCGTGCGTGCGTGCGTGCGTGCGTGCGTGCGTGCGTGCGTGCGTGCGTGCGTGCGTGCGTGCGTGCGTGAGTGCGTGCGCGCGTGTGTGTGTGTGTAAATGATTAAAGACACGGTATGTATAATAGAGAAAATAATTAGGGAGATTGCAAAGCCGAGCAAATATGAAAGTATTAAGTCTCGCGCGACACCACCCACCACCCTCACGACCGCCACTACTTTCCGAAGCACCAACCAATTAACATCCTGCCACTGCCAGCCTATTCAGCCAAGCATGATTCTCAATACTTACGATCTCAGTACTTTACTTATGTTCTGTTCTTGGATTTGTGTATTATACACGCATTGTACGTATACTTACAACATTATTCTTAGGTTATTCTTAGCTACCAATTGCGCTCTCATCTGTCCACGTATTTTTGTCTACATTTAGATATCCAACTTAGGTCTATGAATAGATATTAGTTTTACCATCACACTTGATTTTGTTCTTTATTTTTTTTAGTGGAGTGACCGTAATTGAGGCGCAGTTACACTGTTCTCGTTATAAATAAGACGGCCGCCATCCATTTGACTCTGCTTCCTTCTCCATGTCGGGCGAGCAATCAATCATTCATTTCCATAATATTACGCTAGCAAAGTGAAACCTTTAACTCGGCACCAGTGAAAACGAGTGCAAAAAAAAATGGTTTTTAATAAATTTAACGCTTTCTTCACAATAACTCGTGACTAAATATACATCAGCATTGGTATTCCGTTGATAGCTAAACGCTGCTGGCTTAATGAATGACGAAGACGCCATTTAGACTTAAAATTCAATTAGCATTCTATCTTTTCTCTCTCTCTCTCTCTCTCTCTCTCTCTCTGTCAAAAAGATCAATGTATGAATAACCGACAGGTTAAATATGCGGTAATTAATTAAACTGGTGAAATTCATTTGTTTTTGATTTTTCGATAATTCGTACATCGCGATGAACGAATGCCTGTCGAGAAGATCGACGCGGAGTCATTGGGATGGTACCCGAGGTGTGAAACTGCGCGCCAGGTCACTGTAGTTCTACTCGTATGAATGAAAGAACGAACGATCCAATGCAAATTCGATAATCAGCGTCTAATGCCAGCCGCTCGGCCGCGACTCTCTCCTCGTTTTCCAGGAGCTCGCGCACAAGCTGTCGAGGAGCTTCGATATGCAGGAGGCACAGTTATTGGAGGAGGCTGGAAGCGGAACAAGCGGCAGCAGTCTCTCCGGGGGTGCACCTCGACGCCACCATAGTGCCCAGAGGCTGGGTCGTGGTCAGGCTGACGCTGGCCGCGATGAAGACGCGGCAGTTGTCATGCCCGACCACCAGGGTAATCTCCGCATCATCGTTAAGAAAAGCAAGCCAACCCTTGGCATTGCTATCGAAGGTGGAGCAAATACCAAGCACCCGCTTCCCCGGATCATCAACATTCACGTGAGTTTAATGTATTTAACCCAGAGTAGAAATTCAAGTAGAGGTCGCAATTCGGCGAATAAATTCGTTTCTCGACGCTCTATTTATAATAGCTCCATTATAATGATAAAAAAAAAAAAAAAAAAAAAAAAAAAAAAAAAAAAAACGTATGTGGCTGTATTTCCCCCATTCATTTGATTTATTCAGTACTCAAACGTTTTAATAAACGCGACTATATTAAGTTTTGCATATTTACTTACAAGATCGTATGTATAAAAAATTCGAAATTTTATTAATCTCGTTGTAATGGATGATGCTCCGATTTAATCCGTAAAATGCTATTTCAAATTCTCAATACATTCTCGGGTATAATCATTATAAAGTATATAAATACTCTTTTATAACGTAATATAACATAATTACATTTCGCTGAATTATTGAGCCATGAAATTTTATTATTTCATATATCGATTCTCTCTTCGATAAATTAGTCAAAGTTATGTATAGCAATAAACGAAACCATCAAAACTTAAATAAAAAATAGCCCTTGCTGCAATAAAACTCCATTTCATGTTGACTAAAATATATATTGGTATACTCTAATATTCAACATACAATAAAATTATATTTTATTTTCCTGCAATTTTTATTTTAAGTTTTTTTTTTTATTTCATACCTATATAATATTCGTAAAAATATAAAGTCTTATTAAATTTGTAAATTATTAAATTTATTCCACATAATTATATAGAAATTCTCATTATTTATATAATCTTTCAATATCCACAAATAGTTATGAAAATGAAATAATGTTATATTGAATTTGTAACTCTATAAAGTTGTAACTCTAGATAGTAATAATAACGTATTATTATTAACTTCAATTAACTTTAATATTCCTATTCGAAGACAACGTAATTTAAACTTATATGTTTACAAAATTAAAAATTTATTATTAGATTATTAAATATTAAATTAAAAAATACCTTAAAAATCGTATTTAAATTTTTAAAAGAAATATAAATATATATATATATATATATATATATATATATATATATATATATTTATATATTAAATTATAGGTCGTTGTTTTCATGTGACTACAAATTTGCCTAAAAAAAATCTATACATTAATTCACAACAGACTTATAAATATTTTGTTTTAGTCTGGTCTCACAAAACATATTTATGTTTTAATTATGATTATCTGTCTTGTAATGATTATTCTATTAATTTTTTTTTAAGTGATATTTTTGTAATTGTAAATAACTACATAATCGTTTTAATCTTTTCTTAAGAAAATTTCAATAATTGTTTAAAGGTGATAAAAGCGATTATTCATATTATAATAACGATTATACTTTAGAAAGTATTATGCTAAATATTGACAAAGTATCACAGTGAGTTTACTACATTTTTATCTATTTTTGTACTCTATTTTTACTTTATCTAAAATATATAAATAATTAATTATATATATATATGCATATTTATGATTTAAGGATGATTTTTTTAATATAAAAATCAATTATCAATGAGTATAATTAACAATTCGTATCATAATGACAATTTCTTTCTTTCTCTCTTTTCGTTTTGTATTGCTTTTTTTAATAGAACTACATACATTCGATAAATATAAATTTTCACAATAATTGGTTGACGTGGCGAACTGACCTCTAATGCGATGAAAAGGAGGTGGTGGTGGTGGGTCGGGTGGTGGGTCGGGGGGGGGGGGGGGGGGGGGGGGGGGGGGGGGGGGGGGGGGGCGTACGACGTGCGCGTAATTCTATTTTTCACGGAGCGACTTACATGTTAAACGTTCCGATATCCAGGATAACGAGGCGCAACGGACGAAGAAAAACAACAGCCGCAAGAGGAACGGGCCGGGCGGGGGCGGGAGGAGGAGGAGGAGAGGCTCGGGAGTAAAGAGCATCGGCGCTACGCTCAAAGACTTTCGCACGGTCTAGATCGGTTAAGGCGTCGGGCTCTCATCCTCCATTTATTCTCATCCAGACGATATAACAAGCGATTGTATATTTGTTAGGGAATAATTTCAAATGGTCTCGCGGACAAAAAATTAATCTCGGCTAGACTTGCTTTCTTTATTTTATGTTGTTCCGCGGTATTTCGAGCTCCTTTGCTTCGGCTAAGAATAATCGCTCATTATCGCCTCCTTATCTATCTCGATTAATAATTAATGTGCATTTTATTATGCGTGATCCATCAAAATTCATTGTTAAGTTAAAAATACACGTGACGATTTAGTGTTGTAAGCTATGTTTACAGCTATTCGCGTGTTGAGCAAATGTATTTATAAGTAGATGGGAATACGGGAAAGGGATTCCATTCGATAAATCCAATGAGAGATACTAAAATTCAATTAAATTGCTATTTTCAAATGTCAAATAAATTTCAATAATCTCAATCTATTAATGTAGAAATATGTTTTCGTAATTGGTAATCAATCGCACTATAATTGCAGACTTAGTTTCCATTTTTCTTGATATATTTTAATTTTGACATCAATTAAATTGGGCATGTATTTCTTCTTATTAGTTTTGCATTCGAGATGGTTATATCCTGCTGGTGGTCGCCTCATGGATTCGACAATACTGATAATCTTACATTATTTTTATGCATTAATAGGACAATGGCGCAGCTTACGATGCTGGTGGTCTGGAAGTTGGTCAACTAATCCTAGAGGTCGATGGTCACAAAGTCGAAGGTAAAATATTTCCTAAGGCTTTACTGTAATGAGTATAGGCAAAATCTACGGAATGTTATTAAATCAATTTCACTATACTATTTGTAAAAAAAAAACTCTTTAGCTAATGTAAAATTTTGCAAATAATTATAATGAGATTGTATCCGAAATAATCTCTAGAGCATAGAGCGTTAATTAAATATGATAAAAATTAAAACGAGCGTTAATTATTTTTTAAAAAATTTTCCATACAATTTACGTGCGTGCGAATTCTAATTAGAATTACTAGCTGTTGGCGGATTAACTTTAAAGTGCTCGATCGCCAATCCATTGGAATATCGACCTTAATCAAGACATTAACATATGGAAAATGATATGCCACGGAATAGATAGCCAACTTGATAAATACTTGCATAGATCCCTTTCATTTCTCAATATTTTCATTTCTTTCTCAAAATATTTTCTCAGAACATTCTTCTCAAAATGTGTGGGTAAATTTTCCAGGGCCACAAGGGGGTTCGATAGTCCCTATCAGACGTTTAATAATCGAGGGTCCAATCCCGCTTGTAAACCATAAAAATCCAACTCTTGACGAATCGCCGCTCACGTTGCAGGTCTCCATCACCAGGAGGTGGCACGACTTATAGCAGAATCATTCGCACGGAGAGACCGGGGCGAAATTGAGTTCCTAGTGGTTGAAGCGAAAAAGAGCAATCTCGAGCCGAAGCCAACGGCTTTAATATTTTTGGAAGCGTAGCAGGAATCTCCCACCACCGAGCTGGAGCCGTCGTAGTCGGGGTTGCCAGCATTGTGCCGAGGGCTGGACGAGCAGCGCGAAACTTGGAGAGGCCCGATTTCGCCGATGATGCCCAGGTGGCTCGACGCGAACAAGGTGCCCATTTACATACTCACTTTTCCATGATACCCACTGCAAATCTCATGATTAATTCTCTTATTAACCATTTCAATTAGTAGTCCCCGGATCAATTAGTAATTACAATAATAATAGGCTTTCTCGGGCGGCGAAACATATGACACTGTTAAAATCTTAAAATTAAAACAATTATTTATCCGTCGGATGCTCGTTACTTTTCAATTATTAATTATCCCATTGAGCATGTTTGTTATCAAGCGCAATTACGTTGTGGATAATTTGTGACTTCAATTATTTTTACAGCATACGCTTGCCAGTTTTTTCGTTTTGTCTTTTTATCTTGAGCTGGCATACAATGTCTGTGCCTAAGATCTTTCGACAATTCATTCGTTATATGCACTCCAGTCGTTTACACATGTTATAAAAATATAATAAAATACTTTTTATATGCATTAGACAGGATTCATGTGTATGTGATAATAGAAATATTATCATCGGATCGATGTATCGCAAAATGCAACAATTTTATCGAATAATAAAAGTAAAATCTTCCCGAACGGTCATTCGGGATAAATTTTCGTTACTAAAACTTTACATTTTACGAGTAAATCGAGTGCTACAAAAACAAATTTGTTCGCTCACACGATTAATGACCAATGTTACAATTAATAAAGACCTTAATAAAATGTTTAATAATTAAGGCTTACGATTTGATTTTTAATACGAAGATAAAATATTAACGCAATAAATCTACGATTTTTAATTTGAAAAGTTTAAAGATATTGTTTTTAATATATAATTGACACCTTGTACCACATAATTATCTTATAATTATATAAACGTTATTTACCAATCAAAAACAAAAACAAAAACAAACAACATATATATATATATATATATATATATATATATATTTAATTATTTATTTAGGCAGTTAATTTAATAATTAGTATATTCATTTCAAATGAGATATGAAATAATTAAACATACAAATTACATACAAATTCACAATGTGTGCAAGTACTTGATAATATATTTAATTAATAGTTATGCCCATGTTATCGTTACTTCAACTGTTTTATTAAGATGCGATAAATAACTTTGCCAATTAATCTTGATCTTCGGCGGGGTAAACTACTTCTAAAAACTAAGATTATACTTTTGGAAGCATTCATTAAATATTTTAAAGTATAGTTTGCATAAATAAACAGCGGTGCACGAGGACGTGGTCAGAGCCCATTTAGATTCACGATTACATCTTAGTTTATTCTACGTACTTTATCGTTGGCAATCGTATTTCAAAGTCTTATTCGGAATGGAGTAATAATGATCATCACCTACAAGTAAAATACACAACAATATAATGTAATTATGCGATCATATAATATTTAATATGCAATATAGATTGTGACAAGATAAAAATATTTTTTTAATACTAATTGTGTAATAGTACGAGCTAACACTTATGCGCTTATGTACACGTTTAATACTCGAACAATCAAATGGTCAACGTGCGAATAAAACATATTTTGAGCGTAAATTATAATCTATTATGAGATTTCATGACTCTCCTAAGATTATATATTCTATGTTATATAAGTTTTTAAATTGCTTGCAATACATTATTAAAATTTAGATTTTACATGTAGCGTGTATTTTCCTTATATTTAACTTCATACTTAATTTCATTAATACTCGAGAGCATTAATAAAAGTTTTATATAAACTTCTTCCTTATTACGGTATTATTTACAAATTCCTTAAAATTACTATGTAGCCATAAATTTTGAAGGCTTTGAAAAAAAAAAAAAAGAGAAAAGAGAAAAAAAAATAACCAACCACATCGCACAATTTGTTAGATACATAAACGTGTCATTAAAATTTTATAAATTATTGTTCTTAAGTAGATGTAAGGCTACTATGGTTTACGAAATGATTCCAAAGATGTTCATAAACTCCTCTAATGAATGTTTCTCCAAGGCATTCGAAGCAACTGTATTTAAATTACTTGCACTATACTACATACAGTTAGTTTTTATGAACGCTTATTATTTTCTTTTATGGGTATATTCCTCGTGTAGCGTCTACATCCTAACAGGACTGTCTTTTAATTTGTATTTCATGAAATTAGCCCATATAATCTTGCCGAGATTAATATTTATTAAATATAAAATCAGGGCTATTAATATTGTCGTAGTGGGCGTCGACATAGCTTTACGATAAAACAAAAATAAATAAATAAAACAAAAACAACGACAAAAACAAACGGGCGATTAATGCGATGGGTTTGATAATAAATAATAATAATTAAGTATAAATAATAAATAATAATAATTAATAATTAATAATAATCACGGAAAAGTTCAAAAACCACGTTAAAAGTACGAGAATCGGC